GCCTGGGCTGCAGGGTGATACTTTGTCTCAAACAAATGAACAAATGCACTATAGATAATTTAAATGTAACCTACCCCTACACAACCCTAATTTCTTTGAGGCGCAGGCATGTCACACTGATCTTTGTATTCTGTACTTCTAACACCTTGTTTTGAAGGGGCTCAAGTATTTGTTCTGTTTGTTAAATTGAATGCTTTGACCCTGAGGGTGCTTTCCTGGAGCTTATTTTGCTTTGCTTGTTTTGGAATGTTGTAAGTTTGTTTTGTTTTAATTTGCCTCCTGAAAGTCTGGCCTGCAAACCAACAAAAGCAGGAAACCCTTAGAAGGGCAGATGAGGGTCCTCAGCAGTTGGTTTCGGTTGAGGGTGTCAGGCTGAGGCCATCAGGCTGAGGGTTGGAGGTGGTGGAAGTAGCAACTAGATCTTTTTTGCATCTCATCTGCATTGTTACCAGGGTGGACTTTGACTGAATACCTACTATGTGCACTCTCTGTGCTCACTGAAAGCCTAAGTGGCTGTGGGACAGAAAGCAGAGAGGAAGCTAAAGATAATTTATTGATCCCCCCCTACCCAAAGTTGTCTGGCTTTCTCCTTCTCTTTTTAAAATTATGTGGCACTGCCAAATGAGTTGAGTTCATTGTCTTCTCAGAGTTAAGTATGGAGCTTCCTTCTGTGAACGTGGAATTGTCAGAGAATGATCCTGGTGCACAGATCAAGACAGTTTCTTGCCTAGGACTGTAGCTTCTGGAAGCCACTGGGCAGCTTATTTGCCATGTGGGTTTTGCTTTTTCTTAGTGTTCTTCCCAGGCATCACTGAGAGGGTCCTCTTCAACACCTGCTGTTGGCCAGGACTCTGCCCTTGGTCAAGAGGATCATATTTTTTCACGTGTTCTTTTTTTCTTTTTCTTTTTTTAAGACAGAGTCTCACTCTGTCACCCAGGCTGGAGTACAGTGGTGCAATCTCAGCTCACTGCAACCTCTGCCTCATGGGTTCAAGCAATTCTTGTGCCTCAGCCTCCTAACTAACTGGGGTTAGAAATGTGTGTTGCAACACCTGGCTAGTTTTTGTATTTTTAGTAGAGATGGGGATTCCCCTTGTTGACCAGGCTGGTCTTGAACTCCTGACCTCAAGTGATCCACCTACCTTGGCCTCCCAAAGTGCTGGGATCACACGACGAGCCCACTCAATGAGGCATGAGCCACTCTACCAGGCTGTTTCACACGAACGTTCTTAGTGTCTTAAAATGACTCGCCCCCCCCCCCTTTTTTTTTTTTTGACCCTTTCTTTTTAGGCCTTCTTATTTCATCTTTGAATCTGAAGCAGCATCTTATGACATACTTAAGCTTATTTTCTGTGACCTTCATAGATACGCATAAAATAATTTTTGTGCTGAATTTATTTTCCCATACTGAAGTGGGTTGTTGTCCCACAGCCAAGGAAAATTAGGATGTCGACACACGACAGTGAGGTTAAGAGTGGAAATTTAATAGGCAAAAGAAAGAGAAGAGCTCTCTGCCCAGAGAGGAGTCTTGGAGAAAATGGTTGCCACTTCTGCAGTGAAATGAAGAAGGTTTTATAGATGAGCCTGAGGTAGTGTCTCATTTACATAGGGGACGAAAGATTGGTTGGACCAGGTGTGCCATAGTTTAAAAGAAGCTGGCCATCCCACCTGAATCTTTTATTGTGCAGTTGGGCTCTCTACCTGGTGGGCATCATATTGCCTGGTCCTTACTGTACACATGATGACAAAAAATAGGAAAGATGGAGCCTCCACATTGAACATACCTGACCGCCAGGTAGCCCTTTTCTATTGGCACAGCTGCTGACATTCACCTGTGCAAGCTTCCAGCTTGCTTATCTATGTCTGCAGCTCGATTTTTTCAGCCTGGTCTTTGTTAGAAAAGAAATGATCTTGAGGCTGTTTTTCCTTACAAGGGCAATGTTTAAACCCCTTTCGTTAAAAAGGACTCTCTTGCCCTCACTATCTGCCTGAATAATTTCTTTCTAGCTCCTGTGTCAATACTAGGATTGCTATAATGTTGATATAATCTAAGGTGTCTCTCCATCTTATATCAAATTATAAAGTTGCTTCTCTTATAATGCTACCCTTCTCAAGAGCCTTCAGTGGCTCCCCCTTTTCTTTGACTATAATTATAAATATCTCCTTTTGCAAGCAAGGTCCTCTACAAGATGGTTTCATCACTCTTCATGTTATTTTTTTGGACTTTTAAAAAATTATTCAATCCAGCCAAACTGGGCTACTTGCTGTTTTCTGAGCTTAACCTAAATTTTCCCACTTTAGTGCATTTACTTCAAACTGCCACCTCCCTTCTTGATAAAGTGAAGCCCGGTCTGAAATGCTACTTCCTCACAGATCCTTTCCTAGGCTCCCCCATTCCTGGTTTGAACTTCCTCTCTTGCGGCACAAATCACATTATTTGACATGTGTTAGAATAAATCTGTGTATAGAGTATCTTTGGAAGAATGCAGTAGAAACTGGTGGAGTGCCTCTGGAGAGAGGAACCGAGTAATTAGGGGATGTGAGAAAGGCTTGCTTTTCACTCTGCACCCTTTTTAAATTTTACACCATTGATATTTCCCATTCATTTGTTTTGTTTGTTTTTGGTAAAAGTGTTTTAAATAACAAAAACCTAATCCCTAAAACATTATAAGAAAACACTGGAGAGTATGTTTATAACCTCAGAGTAGAGAAAATGTCCTTAAACCAGAAGCTGTAAAGAAAATGATTTTTTAAATGTCTGTGTGCACTTAATGGTCATATCCCTATTTGGCAACAAGGACCTGAGGTGCTTATATTTTTATCCTTTTACAGAGCATAGCACAGTGACCCCCTACTTGGAATCAATAAGTATTAGTTGAATTGAAATTAAATTGAATTGCAACTCACTTCTTTGCAGGCCTCACTTTTTTTCTAAATGAGTGCTAGGTGACCTCCAGGGTCCCACTCAAAGATTCTGGGGAGATGTCGGCTTTATGGAAAGAGATACCCAGGAAAGCAGGGGTGACTTTAGAATGAGCAGCTCTTCCCCTGAGACTATCCTTCCCAGGACATTGGACTTGTGTGTGGGTCCTGCCTGCTTTCAGGAGCTGCCCTGGGGTGCTCAGCATTAATGACACTGAGGAAATGAATCAATTAGACACAGTCCAAGGAGAGCCAGAGAGTAAGTCAGAGAGATCTGTGGCAGGCCTGCCGCCCTGAACAAAAGAGGGAAAGTATAAAGGCTAAAGCAGTTTACAGAGGTTTCTTTGGAAATCTGGCTGGCCAGCGCTCTGAACTACTTGGCCAAAGTTTAAAGAGCACCAGAAGGAGTGTAGGTGTCTGTCTTCCTCTTGCTCAAGACCCTGGTGGTGGAGAAGAATAGGGACAAGTTGGGTCCTTAGAGGGGACTGAGGGGGACTTATTGGGGCTTATGTCCCAGTTTCAGAGAAGCTGCCAGACTTCTCTAGATTCCTGTGGCATCGCCCCAGCTTTGTTTCATTAATAGCTTTTTAAAATGGCATATTTTCTTTAGTGACATCATCTGAAAAAAGAAGAAAAAAAAGGTACCTTTTTTCCCTATCTCAAGTGATAAGCAACTTGAGGGTAGGGAGCCATCATCTCTTTTTCATTTGGCATCCACTCCCCAGCCTGGCTGTCAGTCACCTTGCTTAATAGCCATTTGTAGATTGGAAAGAAGTGGCATGGGTGAGAGAGGCTGTGAGGGCTGCCCATCTTGTGGATGAGAGTGCCTTATCTTAGACAGTCAGGCACTCCCAGTCACTGTAGGCCTGTTAGAGGAAATGAGAAAAAGAAAATGACCATTCTTATTCTCATACAGATATCCTTGTGATATTCAGGATGGGGGCAGGGTATTCGTCAGCAAAAATTGAATTTCCTTTGGAAAACTTTCGGTCTTTCCTACATTCATGAGTGCCTGGCCATTCTGCCCCCGCCCAACCTTCCAAACAGTGATTCTTTTGTGCCCTCACTTTTACTGTTTTGGCTGGTAATACCCAAGCAGTCCACTCCCTGGGGGCTTCAGTTCTGCAGTGTCTGTCCATAGTGGAATCAGAGGCTGTCCTTTTCCTCCTCAGGGCCACTCAGACCTTCCAGATCCTCTGACTTACCATTACTGCAACTTATCAGTGCCTACCACACCTAGGCACTGCCTGCCATCTCCTTAACTGACCAGTTTGAAGAGGGCAAAGGGGAGGTAACCTTGACGCCCACACCCTTTAAAGGCCATGCAGCTCATGGGGTAGAAGCAGTGTCTGCTGGTGGAAAGAGCCCAGAAGATTGGACTGTGATCCCAAGCCTGCTATTTACCCTGCTGTAAGCTTGGCTGAAAGTAATTTAACTTTTGTGGCCCTCACTGTCTTCATCTTCAAAGGACAGTAATGATGACTGTCTCACAGAGTTTTCAGGACAAATAAGATAGGACAGTCTGTATATCAGTGGAAAATGTGGGATTTGTTATGGGATAGAGACAGGTGGTACCATTGACTACTATAGTCAGAGAATGGAAGATGCACAGGGGTTTGGGAAGCCTCCCAGGGAATCTTATCAGAAATCCCTTCTCAGGCCAAGAGTACATGTTTTTATTATACTATGGAGTCTTTTCTGACATTGATAGTGGTAACAGGCCACTGTTTTACCTCCTTTCACTCTGATTTATTGTGTGTGTTACAGGCTTTATTAAAACTGTATTGTGTCTACATCTCTATAGGTTCAAGACTTTAGAGTCTATTGTTCAGTTATGGATGGAATTATCTTAAGGCATGGTGGGGAGGAAGGGGGAAATGTTGCAACCAGCCAGATTTCCACTGTTGCCAGCATACTTTCCCTCTGTCAGTGGCAATCGGAATTTCCAGGGTTTGGTTAACAACTCCTCCAAGGAAAGCACTCTTTGCTGCTCGTGTGTTTCCTGTGGAGGTCTTCAGAGTTGCATCACCTACTGGATACCTCACCACTGTGCCCCTGCTCTCTCCCCGTCTTTGCAGTGTGCCCCCTACCACCGGAGCCAGAGAATGGTGGCTACATCTGCCACCCCCGGCCCTGCAGAGACTCCCTGACAGCGGGCAGTGTCATCGAATACCTGTGTGCTGAAGGCTACATGTTGAAGGGTGATTACAAATACCTGACGTGTAAGAATGGCGAGTGGAAACCAGCCATGGAGATTAGCTGCCGTCTCAACGAGGGTCAGTCTGGCAAATGAGAAAGGGATGCTGCTGGGGTTCTGCTTTCTGTTAACTCAGAGGATGTAGTACATGCTTCCTCCAGAGCACCCTTTGCTGTGGTGCAGCCCAGCCCCACTTGATGCTCTGCAGCCTCCCTTCCTTGGGACTTCATGTCTTTGTGGAAGATATTTGAGATTGCTGGTACATGTCCTATTACATTTCACTGAGCCACTGAGGCATCTGCCCTGCTCTGTAAAGTCCCTTTGATGTTTAAGATCTCTTGTTTGCCTGTCCAAGTGTTGGTGACCCTTGACCATATTCTGCTGTCATGGTGAGCATAATGCTAATACCTTCTCTAGTGTCTCTTCCATTTCATTTTTCCTTGAATGAAGCTACAGTCTAGCTGGACAAAAGACCTCCCACCCTTCCTGCTTCCTCCTGTCTTGTGTGACAGGAAAATCCAACTGCTTGCAGGAAAGTGTGTGTCGTATGACCATCTTTGTGCTTCCCACTCAGGCTTCAAGACCAGAGCATGTTTAACCCATGACACCCCAGAAATGGGTGGGAACCAACCTGAGATTTACAACTAAAGCTGTGGATCTTAGGATAAGGTTTTATTACAGCCCAGCTTCTATAAATTAATCCTGCCACTTGGGGAGAACATAGGTAGAACTTAAGATAGTGGAATGATGCACCCAGTTAAATGGTCGATGTTTATAAACTTGCTTTTGAGGATGGTATCCAAGTGGTTTATGAAGGTAAAATCTCTAGGGTTAAGTGAGTTTATGTATCAGATGGACCTCAAAGATCAGAAGTGAATGTAATTTTTTATTTAGGAAACAGGAAAGGGAAGTGGTCCTTTTGCAGGAGGACTGTGTATACATAGGTCATTCTAAGCTGTTATTCCTGAAGTGACCCTGACCACAGGATGTCTATATTGCACCATTCAAGGGGCATTTGACAAGATCAGCTGTGGGGCCCATTAGCTGTTTTATGTATTTGGGTACAAAATCCTTCTGATGTTGGCTTATTTTTGTAGACAAAGATACCCACACATCACTTGGGGTCCCCACGCTGTCTATAGTGGCTTCTACTGCCAGCTCCGTGGCGCTCATTCTCCTCCTCGTGGTGCTGTTTGTCCTTCTGCAGCCAAAGCTGAAGTCTTTCCATCATAGCAGGTAAGCCCAGTGGCAGTGCTGCTGTGAGACAGGCAGGTACAAGCATTACTATGGGGGCCAGTCTTTGGTGGAGGGTTGCTGGTGGCCTGCCAAACTCTGTAGGTCTGTGTGTGCTTAGGGAGTGGGGAGGGCCCTTCCATGTGTTAAACCTTGGATGTGCCTAGCATTGTGCTTATTGCTTTGCATACATGATCTTAATTCTCATAGGAACACTGCAGATGAGGAAATTGAGGCTCAGAGAGGTTAAGTTATTCACTCAGGGTTATACCTCTAGGTGATAGCAGAGCTCAGAACTGAGGTGGGGCAGAGTGGCTCACACCTGTAATCCTAGCACTTTGGGAGGGCGAAGTGGGCGGATCACCTGAGGTCAGGAGTTTGAGACCAGCCTCACCAACATGGTAAAACCTTGTCTCTATTAAAAATACAAAACAATTAGCTGGGCATGATGGCAGGTGCTTATAGTCCCAGCTACTCAGAGGCTGAGGCAGGAGAATCGCTTGAACCCAAGAGGCAGAGGTTGCAGTGAGCTGAGATTTCACCACTGTGCTCTAGCCTGGAAAACAGAGTGAGATTCCCGTTTAAGAAAAAAAAAAAAAAAAGTACTGAAATCTGTTCAGTTCCAAAACCATGTCATTTCCCCTACACCAGTGGTTCTCAAAGCATGGTTCCAGCAGTAACGGCATCATGGAACTTATTAGGACTAACCAAATGACCTCTGGGGGTGAGGCCCAGTGATATTGTTTAACAGGCTGTCCAGGTAATTTGATGAACACTGAAGTTTGTGAGCCACTATCCTGTACTCCTGGTTCCCAGTCCTGACTGCAGTATAGAGGCACCTGGGGGAGTTAAAAACAAACATCAGCACTTGGGCCTCCAGCATTCCTATTCTGATTTATTTGGTTTGGAATGGAACCCTGGCATTCACTTTTTATAAATGCTTCTGAATTTTTCTGTGCAGCTAGGATTGAGAACCACTGCACCACACTGAGGAGAAACAGAGGAAGTGGGTTTTCTTGCCCGCCTTTATCAGTTTCCTTTTCCAGTATAGTGCTTTAGCCGCAAGTTGTCTAGGGACGGGGAGCATGAAGGGCGGAGCTGATGGTTCTGGCCCTGAGTGGATTCCTGACCATAGACTTTTTCTTCCAGGCCATCGTGGCTTCTGCAGTTGCTTTGTCCTTCCTGGCAGTTCCTCATTCCCTCCTGAGGTGTAACATTTTTTACTTATCTTCACTGTCCTTCATCGATCACTGTTGTAACTCACAAACATAAAGGGCCAAAGTAAACTGCATTCAGTAAAATGTTTCAAGTTTGGATTTACAGACAAGGACTAGGCTAGATTTAATTTCTGTGTACTATATGTGATTTTCTTTCTTTTATTTTGTTTTTGGGAAGAGGCTAGCAGTTATTTTTTATTTTCATTTTTTTTTTTTGAGACTGAGTTTCGCTCTTGTTACCCAGGCTGGAGTGCAATGGCGTGATCTTGGCTCACTGCAACCACTGTCTCCCGGGTTCAAGCAATTCTGCCTCAGCCTCCCAAGTAGCTGGGACTACAGGCGTGCGCCACCATGCCCAGCTAATTTTTGTATTTTTAGTAGAGACGGGGTTTCACCATGTTGACCAGGATGGTCTCGATCTCTTGACCTCGTGATCCACCCGTCTCTGCCTCCCAAAGTGCTGGGATTATAGGCATGAGCCACCGTGCCCGGCCGCTAGCAGTTATTTTTAAAGGCTTTAATAGGATGAAGAGGATTTGAAAGGGATTGTTTACTTGAAATAATCAGTTATTTTCATCTAAAGTCAAACTGATTAGTTACACATCTCATCTAAATTAAGGAGTTTTCCTCCCTATAGTTAACTTGTAAGTTTGTTAAAAGTAGTTGGCTAGTTTTGCTTGATTTGAGTAGAGGGGAGATTTGGTTTTCATTATAGACACCATTTAAATTTTGTACTGTGTACATATATTACTTTTTAAGCCAAAAAGCATTTTGAATAGTAAAAGTCAAGCACATGTTAGTGTACACACTGCTTTCTATTTTTTCTTTTTCTGAGACAGGGTCTCGCTCCTGTTACCCAGGCTGGAGTGCAGTGGCATTATTACAGCCCACTGCAGCCTCGACTTCTCTGGGCTCAGGTGATCCTCCCACCGCAGCCTCCCTAGTAGCTGCGACCACAGGCATCTGCCACCATGCTCAGCTAATTTTTTTGTAATTTTTGTAGATACAGGTTTTGCCATGTCGCCCAGGCTAGTCTTGAACTCTTGGTCTCAAGCAGTCCTGCCTACCTCAACCTCCCAGAGTGCTCCCATCAAACTTTCCCTTCCTTCCAAAAACCTCTACTGCTTCTCTCCTCACAGAGTATACATTATTCGAACCAGGTAGCACAGATTTTACTCCCAAACACAGGTGAGGAAATTGAGAACTACTTACAACAATCTAGCAACAATAATATGTTCCAGCAGCAGACCATTTATATTTCCTGATATGATGAGCTGAAAGGACACAGCATCACCTAGGTAGTGTTCTTGGCAAAAAAAAAAAAAAAAAAGGCCAGAATCTAATCCTGAGGAAACTATTAGACAAGTCCAGATTGTGGGACATTGTTTGAGACAGCTGGCCTGGACTCTTGAAAAAACAACAAAAAAAAAGCCAATGTCATGAAAGAAAGACTATAGTGGACTGTTTAACAGATTAAATGAGATAAAAGAGGACAATTAAATGCAATGTGTGATACTTAATTGGGTCTTGGGTGAAAACAAAGAAGACCACAGTTGAAGTGGATATATTTTTGGATAGCTAGGAAAATTTGTGTTATTATATTATACCAGTGTTAAATTTCTGGGATCTGATAATGTAGTTCAGGGGAAAAAAAAAAAAAAAAGGCATGTTTATGTGTATAACAAAAGTGATCCCCAAAAAAGGAATCTGCATGAATATGTCTCACATGTATGATGTTGAGTAAAAGAACCCAGAGACAGCTATGTACTCTCACAAATTTACTGTGTATCCCATTCAGGTAAAGATTAAAAATATGCACAACTGTCTGGGCATGGTGGCTCACACCTGTAATCCTTTGGGAGGGAGAGTGGGAGGATTGCCTGAGCCCAGGAGTTCAAGACCAGCCTGGGCAACATGGTGAAACTCCATCTGTACAAAAAAATTGGCCAGTTGTGGTGGTATATGCCTTAGTCCCAGGTACTTGGGAGGCTGAGGTGGGAGGATCACCTGAGCCCAGGATGTTGAGACTGCAGTGGGTCATGGTCACACTGCTGCACTCCAGCCTGGACAGCAGAATAAGACCCTGTTTCAAAAGAAAAACAATATTTTATTAAAAAAAAAAAATACGTGTGCGTGTGTGTGTATGTGTATATGTGTGTGTATAAAACAGTGTTTTTCAAAGAAAAAAATATATATATATATGCAAAACTAAACCATAGTGTTGAAGGATTCATGTTTAGGTAGTAGAGCTGTTAAAATAAAAAGCAAAGAAATGATTTCCATGAACGTCTGGATAGTGGTTACTTTTTGTGGCGAGGCAGTGGGAGTGATTTTGGGACAGGTGCAAAGGGTCTAGGGTCTGGGCAGTGTTCTTTTTCTCGGCCTATGTAGGGGTTTTATACCAGTGTTACTTTTGGAGTAAATCAGCTAGATGTATATAGATTTTTCTTGTGTTCTTTTCTGTATTTGTGTTCTAATTTTTTTTTAAGTTGACAAAGTAAAAAAAAAAAAAAAAAATCAAACAGTGTGGCTGAGTCAGAACAAAATTCTTGTGATTTCTAGTACAGTATCCCACTTTTAAGACCACAGTTCTTCCCTGTTTTTTTAACAGCTTTATTGAAATGTATTCCACATACCATACAGTTTACCTATTTAATGTGTACAGTGAAGTGGTTTTTAGTTTATTCACAGATACATGCCACTGTCATTCTCTCACTTTCTTATCTTAGCTGTGCTGAATGAATGCTTTTATTTCTAGGTCCCTAGGCTCCTAGTTTTCCCACAGGACCAGAGGGCCAGGTGCCTGTCTACCCCATTTTTGCAGGGTGATGGAACTGGATTCAAATCCTAGCTCCATCCTTTACCAGCTTTGTGGTTGTGGGCAAGTTAATTAACTTCTCTGAGCCTCATTTGTATTCTTGGTGAATTCCTACCTGAAAGGGCTTAGGTGAGAATCCAGTGTGATAAAGTGTTTAAAATTCTTAGTGCTGCCGGGCGTGGTGGCTCAAGCCTGTAATCCCAGCACTTTGGGAGGCCGAGGCGGGTGGATCACGAGGTCAAGAGATCGAGACCATCCTGGTCAACATGGTGAAACCCCGTCTCTACTAAAAATACAAAAAATTAGCTGGGCATGGTGGCACGTGCCTGTAATCCCAGCTACTCAGGAGGCTGAGGCAGGAGAATTGCCTGAACCCAGGAGACAGAGGTTGCAGTGAGCCGAGATTGCGCCATTGCACTCCAGCCTGGGTAACAAGAGCGAGACTCCGTCTCAAAAAAAAAAAAAAAAAAAAAATTCTTAGTGCTTTGCCTGGCACATAGTAAGTGCTCAAAAATGATGGCTGCTACTATTATTATTGTCATACTTGTTAATCTATGTGTTTATTCTAGCTCATCCTTTGTCTTTTCCTCCCTCACTCCAGGCGTGACCAAGGGGTATCTGGGGACCAGGTCTCCATCATGGTGGATGGAGTCCAGGTTGCACTACCATCATACGAGGAGGCTGTTTATGGGAGCTCTGGTCACTGTGTGCCACCCGCTGACCCCAGAGTACAGATTGTGCTGTCAGAAGGGTCTGGGCCCAGTGGAAGGAGTGTGCCAAGGGAGCAACAGCCGCAGGACCAGGGGGCCTGCTCTTCTGCAGGTGGAGAGGATGAGGCCCCAGGCCAGTCTGGACTATGTGAAGCCTGGGGCTCTCGGGGCTCAGAGACTGTGATGGTGCATCAGGCAACCACCTCTTCCTGGGTGGCCGGCTCAGGGAACCGCCAACTGGCGCACAAAGAAGCCGCAGATTCAGAGAACAGTGACATACAAAGCCTTTTATCCCTCACGTCAGAGGAGTACACAGATGGTAAGTGGTCTGAGCTGAACATGAATTTTTAGCTGCTTAGGGTCCTTGCTGGGAGTGAGGAAGGACTGTGAGCCTCTCTAATAATTAGTATATTTTTAGCAAAAAAAAAGATAGTACCTGGGTTATTTGCCTACAAAATAGAATTTCATCCTCACAGTGCTGAGTAGGGCTTTGGGCTTTCTATAATGAGACTTTTCACTGTTGCCTGTGAATTCTGATAGTTTGGAGACTCTGAGGCCATTCACGGTCACAGAAGCAAAGAAGTTGGAAATTATTGAAGGCACATCAAGTTTATGGAGCTTCCTGGTTATCAACAGCTTGCCTTCCTTTTTCTTGGTTGGCCATTAAATAGTTGACCCAGGTTTGAATGTGGAAGCCAGTAACTCCATGGACACATATTGTGAGATGTGTTTAAGTGTATATCATGGCCCTTATCCTCCCAAGGAGCCAAGGTGAGGTCCTCCTCTTCCATGCTACCTAGCTTTGTTTTGTGTATTGAACAAGCATTTTGAGAGCCCATCTTTAGGTTTCAGGGGTGATACAGAGAAATATGAAATATGCTGTCTTCCTCCATGGAATATCAGCCATTTGGGAAGATGATGGAGCCTATACTCAAGAAGTAATAGAACCAGGAATTGTAGCGTCTTTGTCAAAATGAGGGGTTCAGAAAACAAGACACATTAAGTCAGTGAGGTCCTTGCCTGAGCTGTTTGGGACTGATAATACCCTAGGAAGTTGAGAGCTTGAGGCTCGTGAGCATATGAAGAAGCTGAAACCAAAAACAGAGGAAGTGATTTATCCAAAGTCACATAACTGGCAGATGGCTTTAGGAGGCAGTAGGACTTAACAGGGCTTTGTAACCTCATAGGGTGGGATTAGGAGAGAAAGGGAAGTGACTAGACCAACAGAGCTAAGGCAGAGAGGACAGCGACTGAACATTCCAAGCTTTTCACATAGGCAGTGGGAAAGATAAGCTAGAAACTCCTAAAGAGTGGGACATTTACTTTCTTTAAATAAGGGCTAGATGGGATAGCCCCTAATTTGCAGGGGGATTGAGAGTACTGTAAGAGACCCACACGAGGTAACCACTGTGCTTTCCTTCTGGTCTTCCGCAGATATTCCACTGTTGAAAGAAGCATGAGGGCAGCGGCCAGCCTTTCCTCTCTGCGAGGTTCTCTCAGCCCTTCCTCCCTCTCCCTGTGGGATTGAGCACCCTGTACTCTCCAGCCACCTTACCTGGATACCTGAGCTGCCACCTGTGTATCTGTGTATCTCTGAGGGCCCTGTAGGCCCACCTTGCTGGAAACTCAAGGAAGATTCTCGCCATCTGCCTGTTGGACAGCTGGAAGAGCTGGCTCTTTGCCTGGCCCAGCCTACCCATCTGTCGAGACATATTTGAATGTGCTGGATTGAACCCTCCCTTTTCCAAAGCCTCTGGGTCCCCTCCAGCCAGCTCTTTGGCAGCAGCCCCCATCAGCTCCTGTGGGCCTGAGTGCTGCTGTGTTTACTTGTGCCTTTCCCCCACCCTGTCCAGTTTCCCTGTCATGCAGGCTTGTTGCTATCCACAAGCCTTAGTGGCTGCACTGCTGTCCCCTGCCACACAGGGGGCTGGGCCTGAGTCTGGCCTATTTCCTTTGAGGGCTGCCCCTGCTGACCTTTGCAGGAGCAGATCCAAGTGTGAGAGCTCTTGAGTCAGGAATGGCAGAAGTGGCTCTAATTGGGGTGAGAGTGTGGTTCCTGGGCTTGCCCTGGATTGACACTGGTGGCACATTTCCTTGGCCAAGGATAGATTTGTAAAATCATGCCCAAGCTGGCCCAGGACCCAGCCATCTGGCCCAGAGGTACAGGGCCATTGAGTTGACAGTTTCCAAGAAGCATCCAGAAGATCCCAAGGGAGGGAAGGAAAGTGGCTGATAATGATTGTCTTCCTAATATGCAAGTTCTCACTTCCTGCTTCCAGCATCGGCCTTCCTGGCCTTGTCTTTTTTCTGGTTCCCTGGAGTATAAGGGGAAGTTGCATGCTGCCTCCTGGGTTTTATCCCAGATCACTCTGGCTTTCTTGCTGCCCACAGGGGCCTGGGGCAGGAGAGTTGTTAAGATGCCATGGAGTGCCCATCTGGTCACTGGCAGTCTGGGCAGGTTGCCCTTTTCTGGGTTTGTGGTGATGGAGGGGAGGCCGAGAGGCACAGACCGAGTCCCCGGGTGGCTGCAGGCAGCTTCAGCCCGGTCCTGAGGATCCGCCTCTCCCTGGTCACGTGCCTTAGTAACTGTGCCCAGAAAGTGGCCTGCTGCTTGCTGTGCTGCTGCTTTTCCTACTTCTGCCCTTCCCTGCCACTCCTTGCATGTCACAGCTGACAAGCAATTCCTTGCCTTCCCTGACCCCCTGGGGGAAGGGCTGAGAAACAAGTCCATGTGCACCCCGTCCTTACTGGCCTGAGGTGGGCAGAGGGGTGTGGAGCAGTCTAGAGTACAGGGCCTGGGGGTTGGAGCCCCCTGATGAGGGACGCTCTCCCGTAGCCATGTGTTGAATGCTAACTAGGCTGGGGTGGACAAGCTCTGCCAGCTGCTGTCATCTTCAGAAGACAGACGCAGCAGTAAGGAATGTTTGTTTTCACTTTTTATAAAATGTTTGGAAGCACTGTGGCTGGGAAACTTCGAAGCAGACCCTGTCCTGCATGTCTGCCCCTCCCCTAAGCCTCTCTGCTTGGGGGTAGTAAAAATAAAAAGCCCAGTATGTTTTCAGTACCTTACTTAACAGGGTTGGCTCCAGGCATGGATGGCCTGGAAGATGAGGGGAGTCGTCTTCTCCCAGCCTGTTACCCTCTTGCCTCCTGCCTCTGCGCTTACATACGCACTTTACCACCTGGTCATTCCCTGGCCTCTTGCTGCCACTTGTAGTCTTCCTTCCTTCCTCTCAGGGTAAGGGCAGTGCCTGCTGTGCCTGTTGGCCACTCTCACACCTCCCCCTTCCCCAGGAGCCCTCATCTGCTCTGCCGAGTCCAGGAAAGCATAGTTAGGTAGGGAGCTGGCTGGAGAATGTGCTAGAACTAGAAGGCAGATGAGATTAGCATGGGCCCACCTGGAGGGGTGTCCCTAATGGCCCCAGTTGCCTTACCACACCCACAGCGGTGCCCTTGTCTTCCTCCAAAAAAAGAAAGCAGGGACAAATAGGGGAGGGGTGGTAACCCGAAGTCTCACTCCTGAGACTTCAGCTTTTATTTTCCACTGTTTCAAAACCTGAATTCTATTCTAGAATGGTTTTTAAAATGGAAGATCTTACCTTTTTCTATCTTATTACTCTGGGGTTTTCTTCCCCTTAACAGATTGCACTTTTTGTTTGGGGTTTATTCCTCTGCATAGATGGTCAGCTTGATCCTTGGTAAAATGAAAAGCCTTCCTTCTCCTGAAGCCTCTTTCTGCCTTGCCCTCTACTAACAACACTGAGGAGAGCAAGCCCAGGCTTGCCCACCTGGTAGGAAAGGAAGAAATCAGAACAATGGGAGCCTTGGCTCCCCTCTCGTCTCCTCCCCTCCCTCTTGTCACCGGCTTTGATGAGGCCCGCTTCCCAGAGGCTCCTGGGCCTGTGAGTGCAGGAGCTCATTCTTCCCCTCGCTGCTGAAGTCTATGACAGCTTCTACCCCCCGTTATTTCTCTTTCCTCCAAAACAGTTTCTTAACCATCAGCCATGTGCTGCTGTTTCTAGGGCTTCTGGGCTTTGTCCCTACTGAGGGATTAGGGACTCCACAGCTGCCTTGAGGTGGGGCCTGGCTGAGAGACAAGGGCAGCAGCAGGTGGCAGGCTGTTAGAAGAGAGGGTGCCTGAGGAGCCCAGAGCAGATGGGAAGAAACCAGCCACCGCCCTGCTTTCCTGGGCTCACCTCTAGGGCATTAGCAGGAGGCTGATGCAGGAGAATGGCCAGCACCAAAGGACATTTAAAAGAGTTTTTGGTTTTTTGTTTATTTGTTTTTGCACACTTGAGCTGACTCAATGCAGATTTAATATCCTAGTGACTTGTAGTCACATTCTAATGACTTTCAAGGGCCAGAATGTGGTGAAAAATCACTTAAAATATCCGTCCCTTCTATGCCTTAGTTTAGCAGGTAGGCTCTATCTTTTGCCATTTCTGTATTTTATGTGCTGTGTTCCCGTTTCACTGGATGTGAACTGTGAAATGGACTGAGTCCTGGCCACTTTACAAGTTTGTTTGATTTTATAAGGCATTTCAATGTACATTCTATAAATAGAAGCACTCCATTTGCAAACAGATCTTAAGCTAATACTTTCTTTCCCATTCATCTTGCCCTCCTCCTCCTACCCCCAGCTTTAAAGTGCAGTGGAGAAGCCAAATGGAAATTCAGACAAAGGTATACTCTTCCTGCTTCATGGGTGGTGGCATGGGAATAGATAGCCCTTAGCCCTTTCCCTCCCAGTTTCAGCTGAGCTCTCAAACCCCTTGCTTCCCACATAACAATGTTGCCTCCATTTCCAAGGAATATCCTTGCATGGAGAATGAAATATGCTGCAAACATTTCTGCATCCTTGCTCCTCACCCCCAAAGAAAAAAAAAGGCCTAGCAGGGAAGCAGCATGCAGGCTTCACAGCTTAATGCAGATGTGCTTGCCAAGGACAGTGAGTGAGGCTGGGAGCTTCTCTTATGGGACCTGCTGGGTCTCTTGGCTCTCAGAATAGGGATAGTCATTACTGATGCCCCAAGGAGGGACTTGGAGAATATTTTGCTTGGCCTGTTTGGTCTGAATGTTGTAGTTGCTGGTTCCCTAGAGTGGAAAAGGTGGCAGGCCCTACTTTGCTGGGAAGTGACTCTTAATTTCCAGTTGAAACCCTAGTAGAATTGTGAATGAAAACCCCAAGTTTGAGCCCCTCTGCCAAGCAGCAGAGCTAGCAGAAGGGGATACAGGGGCAAAGCACTCAATTGCCAAGGAAGGAGAGATGTACATGGGCTATGTGGCAGTCCCCACGCCCTGCCCTGGCTTCTTCAGGTTATCGCACCACTATGGAATCCTTTGCGGAATGGTACTCATGTAATGGTTTAAAACAACACATTCATAATCGACTCTGTGCAGGATGTCACTCAATCAGTTGGGTTTGCTTTATTTTATTTTATATATATATTTTTTGGTATCCTGTACATTGCAGTGGGTGTGAAGATAGTATTTTAATATTTGTACAAAGTTTAATTTAATTTTAATTGTTCTATGTATATAACTGCATTTCTAAATAATTAAAAAAAAAAAAAAAGTTCTTATGCAGGCAGTTGTGGGAGATGTGATCCTTCCTGAAAGTTTTTGTGGAAACCTTAGGTTGAAGAGAGCGTGTCTGGGCAGGAGGTGATGAAGGGATGAGGCACTGGCTCTGCAGGGTGGGTTGCCTGGCAAGAGGTGGGGGAGCTGGGATGGGGAGGTGGGCTATGGGACAAGGAAGAAAGACCACAAGCAGGTGGAAGCATATTGCCTCCTTTCTTGTTAAAGTGCTCTCAGTGTGCCAACTACTGTGCTGAAAGTAAGATGCAGCAGTGAACGAGACATTGTGGTTTGGGCCTGCGTGGAATGTCAGGGGCAGAGCAGGCAGTGACTAAAGGTGCAGTGATTGTTATGATCGGGGGCGTATGAGGTGTGATGGGGGTAGTCAAAAAATGCCTCTCGGATGAAAAGAAACTTAAGCTGAGAGGGGAAAGGCCAGTACAGTGAGTAAGGGGCAGGACACTGCCTGTGTGTAGGAGCACAGGAGGCAGAAAACACATCCCGTTTAAGCAGCCAAAGGGTGTGGTGCTGCTGCCCCGGGAGGGCTGAGGGAAGAGTGGCTCCAAATGAGGCAGAGGAGTTAGGCAGGGACCAGACTGAGGAGGCTTCCACCAGCCAAGTTAGGAAGTTTGCATTTCATCCTAAGGGCAATAGGAACCTTAAAGACTTTAAGTAACAGGGTGACTTAGTAATATCTGCTTTTTTTCCTTTGGAAGCTCTTTATCTGTTTAAGAAGAATGGATTTAGGAGGATGAAATACACTGTGTACAGTGACCATGTAAAAAGTCATTGGCCTTGCCTAAGAGAGAGATGATGGTTTCCAGTAGGGCGATGGCAGTAGCAATGGGGAGAAGTTGGTGGATTCAAGAGATATTTGTTAAGAAAGTAGAGTCATGATTTGGTGGCTGACTGGATGTGAGTGAGAAAAGGGTGTTAAGATTACCCAGTCTCTGATTTGAGCAGCTGGATGAATAGGAGCACCATTCTGAGACAGGGAAGTGGAAGCAACAGTTTGGAGAGGGGAATGATGGGCTCAGTTTGGGACATGCTGAGTTGGAGGTGTGTGACATCCCAAATGGAGATATCCACCAGGCAGTTGGGTATCACATCTAGGGCCCAGAAGACAGATCTAGACCAGTCTTCAGGAAGTCTGCACAAATATCACTGGCTGTTAGTTGAAAAGGTGATGGGAAGAAGCCTGCCATTAATCGAGCACTTTACCAACTTTTAAAAGTAATGTAACAATAGCTGATACTTACTAAGCACTTACTGTGTGCCAGGCATAGCTCTGAGGACATCGTGGGCATAAACTCATGGAATCCACACAGCGATGCTACCAGGTGGGTGCATATGCCACATAGGGTGAAATGGAGGCATGAAGACCAAAGGAACTTGTCCAAGGTGCAGCCAGGATTCACTTCAAACAGGTAGTTCCACTGGGGTGAGCCCCTGCCCCATGCCATTCCTGCCCCATCAGACATGGCCTGTGTCTCTCCAGGCCCTCTTCACCAGGCCCTCACATATGTTGCCACCTGCCCTCTGCCTTTCAGAGTCTGCTCTGACCAGTGACCTTCAGAGAAGTTCTAATTTCAAGGCAGGGAAATGGTACACTTTTCACTTTGGAATGGGACATACCCATCATGGTGGGCGGGGAGGAGGAATTTAAGCTCTGCAGAGCATAAAAAAGTTCACAACACAGTAGGGTTGTTCCATAAGAAAAAAATAGAAGGAGCCAGGTGCAGCAGCTCACACCTCTAATCCCCAACACTTTAGGAGGCCAAGGAGGGAGGATCACCTGAGCCCAGGAGTTTGAGACTAGCCTAGGCGACATAGACCCCAACTCTACTGAGAAAAATAAAATAGCTCGACATGGTGGTATGCACCTTTAGCCCCAGCTAGTTGGGAGGCTGAGGTGGAAGAATCACTGGAGCCCAGGAGGTCGAGGTTGCAGTGACTGTGATCACGCCACTACACTCTAGCCTGGGTGACAAAGTGAGATGCTGTTTCAAAAGAAAAAATAGGAGGAGGCCAGGTGCAGTGACTCACACTGTAATCCTAGCACTTTGGGAGGATGAGGCAGGTGGATCACCTGAGGTCAGGAGTTCGAGACCAGCCTGGCCAACACGGTGAAACCCTCTCTCTACTAAAAGTACCAAAAAATTAGCTGAGTGTGGTTGCGAGTGCCTGTAGTCTCAGCTACTCAGGAAGCCGAGGCAGGAGAAACATGAGCCGGGAGGCAGAGGTTGCCATGAGCCAAGATTGCACCATTGCACTCCAGTCTGGGTGACAGAGCAAGACTCTGTCTCAAAAAAAACAAAAAAATTTGAAGGAAAGACTGCTTATTTCAGTGATAGATGTCTTCTCTGCCACTGGAAAACAGGTGCAGACACATGTCCCATCAGGTAGGAATGCTGGGCCCTAATAGGCAGGAGAGGGACTGGGGAAGGGAGACATGTTGACATGGCCTCAACCAAGGTTGTGGCTTTTTTCTTGATGACAGGCAAGGAGGGACAAAGCTAACAAAGCCCATGAAACTTGCAGATCTGCTGGAGAAAAGGACTATTTTTGAAATGGTTGCCTCTGGTGTGAACCATGGGAGGACAGAGAGAAGAAATTTCCTGCTGTGCTGGAGAACACGACCTCCCCCTTTGGAAGGCTCAGATCCTACACAACAAAAGTGGCAACAATCTCAAACTGGTCTTCCTCAGACCACTTAAACATATCTTGGCCTGGTGCCGTAGCTTATTCCAGCAGTCCCAGCACTTTGGGAGGCAGAGGAGGGGGGAATGCTTGAGCCCAGAAGTTCAAGACCAGCCTGGGCAACATAGCAAGACCCCATCTCTACAAAAATTTAAAAATTAGCCAACTGTGGTGGCAGGTGCCTATAGTCCCAACTACTCAGGAGGCCAAGGTGGCAGGTTTGCTTGAGCTGGGGAGGTTGAGGCTGCAGTGAGCCATGATCATGCCACTGCACTCCAGCCTGAGTGACAGAGCGAGACCCTGCCTCAATCAGTCAATCAGTGAATACACAAAAGTAATATCTATTCATTTCAGATAATCTAGAAAGAAAATTAAAGTCACTCATAGTACCACCTCCTACCGATAATGTAATACTTTCAGTATTGTAATACTTTCAATATTTCTTGTATGTCTGTATACATTTTCCTCATAAAAGATCACTTTTTAATAGTATTTTGTATTTTTAAAACTTTATGTAATCTACTGAAATGAAATCATTCATCTACATTTTTTTTTATCACCCTAGTGATCAAAATAAGAGTAGTTTATCTCAAAGTGAAAAGTGTGCCATTTCCCTGGCTTGAAATTGGAACTTCTCTGAAGGTCACTGGTCAGAGCAGACTCTGAAAGGCAGAGGGCAGGTGGCAACATATGTGAGGGCCTGGTGAAGAGGGCCTGGAGAGACGCATGCCGTGTCTGATGGAGCAGGAATGGCATGGGGCAGGGGCTCACCCCAGCGGAACTACCTGTTTGAAGTGAACCCTGGCTGCACCTTGGACAAGTTCCTTTGGTCTTCATGCCTCCATTTCACCCTATGTGGCACCCAGGTCTTGCCTGGTAAAGCAGCGAAGTCTTGCTTGATCACCCTGGCTGCAATGGAGTGGTATGATCATGGCTCACTGCATTTTCAAACTCCTGGGCTCAAGGAATCCACCTGCTTCAGCCTCCTAAACAGCTGGGACTATAGACATGTGCCACCACGCCTGGCCAATTTTTAAATTTTTTCTAGAGATAGAGTCTCACTATGTTACCCAAGTTGGTCTGGAACCCCTGGCCTCAAGCAATCCTCCTGCCTTGGCCTCCCAAAGTACTGGGATTACAGGTGTGAGCCAGTGTGCCCAGCTCATTTACATCATTTTAAGTGGCTGCATAGTTGTCGTCGTCGTTTTTTTATCATATGGGTAATTTGGACTTCTGGGTTACTAGCTTTTCATTAACAACTCTTTAATTTTAAGACCAACAGTTTAATAGCATTCTTATTTCATTAGGATAAATTACTGGAAATGAAACTGCTGGATCAACTTTTTTTTTTTTTTTTTTTTGAGACAGAGTCTTGCCCTGTTGCCCAGGCTGGAGTGCAGTGGTGCAATCTTGGCTCACTGCAAATTCTGCCCCTGCCGGGTTCAAGTGATTCTCCTGCCTCAGCGTCCTGAGTGGCTGGGATTACAGGCATGAGGCACCATGCCTGGCCAGAAGTACGCATTTTTTAATGGCTTTTGTTATGTCTTAAATTGCCCACAAAGACACTGCAAATTATACTCTCATTAGCAGAGTGCTTATTTCTCCACAATCTCACCAGCACTGGGAATTATTTTTTTTTTAATATGTCTATTGAAAGAAAATAGTGTCACCTTAATTTTTGTTTTGTTATTCCTGAAGTTGGGTTTTTTAAGTACATTCACTTGTTCTTTGTAACAAAGTCATCTTGAAAATTGTGAAGAAGTCCAAGTTTGAGATGAAAAGCCAAAACTACTCAAATTCAGAATACACATACGTACACATATGTACGTATATGTATGTGTGTGTTTATATATATAATAAAACCTGCAAGCTGCTGAGAATAAGGAAGCTGTTACCCCTGCCGCTTGAGACAGAATTACTCATTACTAACAAAGTTTTCCTTAGGTTTTCCTTTCTACTTGATGAAGGAAAAACGTTTTTTTTTTTTTTTTTTTTTTTTTTTTTTTTGTTTTTTTTAGAAAAAAATTTTTTTTTTTTTTTTTTTTTTTTTTTTTGTACTGGGATGTTTTTAGAAAGCATTTGATACTGTCTTGAGAAATTTTCTTGGGAAAATTAGCTGAGGCTGATTTGTATTTAAAAAACAAGAAGTTGGCCAAGAGTGGTGGCTCACACCTGTAATCCCAGCACTTTGGGAGGCCGAGGGGTTGGATCACTTGAAGTAAGGAGTTTGAGACCAGCCTGGCTAACACAGCAAAAGTCCATCTCTCCTAAAAATACAAAAATTAGCTGGGCACAGTGATGCATGCTTGTAATACCATCTACTTGGGAGGCTGAGGCAGGAGAATCACTTGAACCCAGAAGACAGAGGTTGCGGCCAGCTGAGATTGCGCTGTTGCACTCTAGCCTGGACGACAGAGCGAGACTCTGTCTGAAATATATAAATAATACATAAATAAATAAAAAATTCTTGGCCACCAAATCTTCAGTATGGTGGGGTGGGGTTGCTTGGGCAAGGGAGGGACAACAGCAAAGGGAGGTTGAAACTGGGCAGAAAGCCACTACAGCTTCAATGTGGCAAGGAGGGCATTTGAAATGAGCCCACAGAAGCAAGGCTTTGGATTATATTCCTGGAAGGGGCAGATGTCTTGGAGCAGACGGGAAGAGAGAAGGAACTGTGGTGATGGCTCCCAAAACACCAAGGCTTTCAGGAAGAAGGCAATGAGGCCCCAGTTAAAACAAGGGAAGCATTCTATTTATCTGGGGAAACTATGACAACAGTAGGCATTACCAGCAATTCAGTGGGCAGGAGCAATGAGGAGGGCAGGAACTCAGGGAGAAGTGGTGGAATGCATTCAGGGAAGCCAAAAGCAAAAGACAGCTGGCAACGTGCCAGGATTCATGTTGATGCAAGCCAGCATCTACTGAGTGCTTCCGTATGTACCAGGCGCCCTTCTAGGCTCTTGGCCTGCAGTAACTCCAGATCTGGTAGCTGTACTCGGGGCGGGGGGAGAGGGGGCAGGCATTCTGATTAACCCTGACTTTGTGGGTAAAGAAACAGGCTTAAAGTAGTGAAGCTTTATTATAAAGTCACAAAGCTCTGAAATGATAGAAATTTGGACTCAAACATGATTGTCTCACAGCCCAGTCTCTTAATATATGTCTCAAAGAACACTGCCCACAGCATTCAGGCTTCTTTATGTTGCAATAACAGAAAACCCCACTGGCTTAAACCACATCGCACAGCTGATTCAACACCCAGCACCCTACTTTCAGGCTAATTCTACCAAGACCTGGCTTGAATGACATCATTTTCTTTCTCAGAAACTCTTCATGAGTCTTGCTTTATTGTTTAGAGCAGGAAAGAAAGTAAACCACACACCCTCAGTAGTCATTTGTTTCAAATGCCCAGTTTTACAGATGAGGACACTGATGTGCATGGCTGTACTCTGATTTGATCAAGACCACATGGCTAGTTGGTGGCAGAGCTGGGCTGAAATTCTAAGCCCCTAGTTCAGGTCCAGTGTGTGTCCCTGTCCCACCATCTTCAGCAAGTCCACTCTGCTGCTTGGCTTTGGAGCCCGGCCACATCCTGTTCTCCAACACAACTTCCCTCTGCATCCTGAGCGCCCACAACTCTGTGCCAGAGTATGTCAGAGTCACCAATGCTTCACTGTGGCTCCCTTGGTCCTGAATGCTGCTCCTGGGAAGGTTGGAAGGAAGAGCGACACCTGAGGACGAAGTCCTTTATCAGTCTGTTCTCATGCTGCTATGAAGAAGTACCTGAGAATTGGTAATTTATAAAGAGAAGAGGTTTAATTAACTCACAGTTCTGCATGGCTGGGAAGCCTCAGGAAACTTACAATTATGGGGGAAGGCACCTCTTCACAGGGTGGCAGAATAGAGAATGAGTGCCAAGTGAAGGAGGAAGCCCTTTATAAAACCATCATATTGGCCAGGTGCAGTGGCTCATGCCTGTTATCCCAGCATTTTGGGAGGCCAAGGTAGTGGATTACCTGAGGTCAA